AAAAATGGAGGGGAGGGAGGGGGAGCAGGCACACAGGGGAGAGCTATTTTAAGAAGTAAGAAAATGTTTTCAAAGCTCTTTTCCTATTGTTGTTTTGCCATGATTTTGCTCCTTGACAGATTCCAAGGTAGGATGGGCTCTTTGCCATCCTTTGAGAGTTGGGTGTCGAGCGCACGTGTGCTGCAAGGAGGAGTCTCCCTCCAGCTACAGCCTTGTGCTTCCTTCTCTTTCCTTGCTCCTGGAGACCCCAGAAACCTTTCTAGGTCTTGCCAGGTCTCCCTCCTAAAGCCTGTGCTAAATTACCAAGGCTGGGCAGATGCTGCAAAGCCCCTCAGTGCCACCAAAATTCCAAGGTCGTGGAGCTCCTTGGATCCTTCGGGTTTCCGGTAATGATCTGTTCCCTTTAACGTGGCTTCGACAGGCTGCATATTGCTCCTTTTTGTACAACCTGTACTTTTGAGAAGGAGTAAGGTATTTGTGGGTGTCTGGCAGAGGGACCTCCAAATCCCAGCCAGGATGTAAACAAAATACAGCTCTTCAATAAAATTCAATAAATATTGGCCAATATAAACCTGCAAAAAAAATCAGGCTGTGCCATGCAACATTAAACCTTGCGAGCTGCTCAGATCCCTCACCTCCAGCCTTTTTCAAAGGCACCAGAAAAAGCACAGTCTAATGTACACAAATACACAGGGACTGTGTTAGGGTGGTATGTGGAGGCCAATTTGTGTATTTGCTCCATATTTTAGGCAGCAACTTTTGAATCTCTCCGTGCTTTTAGAAGATCTGGTCTCTAAACTCCGATTGCATTGTCAACAGTGTTTTCTTTGGAAAATAAACTGCCTTGGCTGAATTTGGAACTGCTCCCAAATTCAGCTCACTTCCTGATAAATGGCAGCAGAAAATTTAGACCAGCTAACACAAACATTTGCCTATGTGTCCATAGAGAGAAGGTAAGTGTAATAATGCTGGGTGGGTGGACATCACTCAAATAATTCTGTAGACCACTTAAATACTAGAATCCACTGTTCTTTATTTATGCAGCTCTGAAAGATGGCTCATCTTAAAAACCCAGCTAGGCTGTAGGGCAGCACTGCTCCAGTGGCACTTGCCTAATTCCAGACGAGGAGTATATTTTTCCCAGACCCCATGGAAGCCTTATAAATGGGATATTTCCAAAATTCCTATGGGAAGGCTCGCATTTCTGGCGATATTCTTATCTTTTGAAGGAGCAGCTTGTGGTGCACAGGTAGGGTCCCCAGCTGGGGGGGATATGAAGAGCCAGGCAGAGCCAGAGATGCCACTGCCTTCCCTTCTCTGGATACTGGCAGGATTATCCATCAGACAGTGCTAAGGTCTCACTGCTCTGGTGCTGAAGAGTCTGCTAGAGTGAAAGGTAGGCAGTGGTGTGGTGGGAACATCAGAGCTGGAGTTCATGCCCACAGACATAATGTAGACAGTTAATTCACACTTCATTTCAAAATGCAATAATTAGATGACTAAGTACCACAGAGCCATAATTGGGCTCTCATGTTTATTACTTGCATTTCTTAACCATCTTTATCTTTTTATACCATTGAAGAGTAAGAGAAAGAAAAATAAAAGCAACTTCTCTCTCTCCCTCTCTCTCTCTCTCCTTTTTTTTAAATTTTCCATTTATAACCAAGCAGATATTTTGTCTGTTTTTTAGGGAAGGGTCCCCACATAAAAATTATTTAGGCAGATGTTCTTCTGTCTTTCTCTGCAGCCAGATTTTTTTCTCTTACCCATAACTTTTTCATTCAGTTAATGCAGCAGGGGTAATACAATGCAAGGCCCTGGTAAGCAAAGGTGAAAATAAACTACACTGGTGCCTCTGCTCACTGTTTTCACTCATCTAATTCTGTGTTGATATGCAAATCAAAGATGGGTTCAAGCAGGTGTCCTGAAAATGTATTAGTTCCCTTGAAGTTTTATCATGGCTGACAGGAATTTGAGAAGTTCTGACATTTCCACACAGCCTGCAGGCCAGTCAAAATTATTCCAGGTAAACTAATGGACATTTGGCATGTCCCCTGTTTCAGGCAGACCACATGCACATGGAGCAAGGACCACCCTCATCAACACTTGCTGGGATGCACCTCATAATTTTCAAGGCACAAATTCCTTGAATGCCTTTCCATGCCTTCAGAATGGAATAAAGGGGAAGGGACCAGAGGAGTGGTCCTTTGGGGACCAGGAGGGACTGGTTGGCTCCAGTCTGAAGCAGTAAGTGAAAGCAGGAGTCACTCACACATTGTCCCCAGACTGACAAACTTCTCTACACTTCTGTGGCTCCCTGAGCCTGCTGGCTATTGTGGCCAGTGTTTCTGTGGCAGAGAGCTCTCTATTCATACTCTGGTTTATGTCCTTCTTTAGGACATGAACCCGTTCCAAACCAATCTTCCATACAGTGCACAAGCCACCACTTCAAATGCCTTTCAAGAGATAAGAAGCAAGTGTCAGATGCCAACACTCAGCTCTTCCTTCTTTACAGTCCAAAGACTCCAAAGATTTTATGAGTGAACACTAATAAATGCAGTCTGGGGAAGGATGTGCTGAGCTAAAGAATATTTCAGAGAGGAACGAAACTACTATACTGAAGATACTTCCCTCACCTTCTTATTCACATACCAGCTTTCAGAAGTTATAACTGTGGGTCCAAAGCTATGATGAGTCTGAGTATTTGGATTGAATCAATGAAGGTACATCCATAGAAACCAGCTGAATATCTGGCCCACCATTTAATGCATCAGGGAAATCAACTGAAGCGACAAATGAAGTTACAGAGACACCTCACTAAACAACATCTCAATGATGAGAATTTTCAATAACAGAAATTGGTGAGCTCATCCCTCACCATTGCAAACTGCTGTTCTGTATTTTTCCTTGAAGCTGCTCTGCACTGAGATGACTTCTGGCTTTTTCTTTTACACAGAATCAATAAATTCCTTGAACCAACACTGCCAGTGAAACGACCACGGATCTTTGTTCCATGATACATCGTAAGTATTTCCAAAATTAATCAGGCCATAAGGTTTGAGAGAGTTACATGGTTACAAAAGTTTGGGCAAATCTGCCAGGCCTAAATGTATTATTTTTGAGTAATCATCCTCATCCATCATAACAGCAGCAGCAAGAGCAGTGACTGAAGAAAAGAGGAAGACTATTTAACCTTCCTGTGAGAAGTAAGAACTGTGAGTGATCTAATTTGTGGTGGTTTCCTACTGAGGAGCAGAAAGTCACTAAAAAACATTTTGTAAGGAAGGATGAAAGCTAACTCCTTTCAGGAGAAAACTGCAGTTTGGAGGAGGTTTGCAATTCAGGAGGATTTACAGTTTGCAAAGATCTTGGGGTAGGATAACTGAGTCTCAGAAATTTATGCCAACAGTTTTAGAGGAAGACTGGGGGTTGGGTTAGACAACCTTTAAAGAACCCTTCCAACTCAAACCATTCTATGGTTCTATGAATCTAAGATTACTGCTATCACAGAAGGGGGTTGACAGCCAGCTGCCCACATAGTTTTCCCACCAAGGAATCAGAGAGACAATTTAAAAGGTACGCACTGCTCAGAAAGGTATATTTATTTACTCTTTTTGGCACATAGTTCTGGTTTAGCCTGCTTTGCCTCCTCCTAAATTCTTTGTTTCAAAGTGAAAACAGATGAGACACTGAGTTTCCCCTAATTTTCTGAGATTTTGAGTGGAGCTGAGAAGCTGTTTGCTAGTGATTGCTACAGTGAGCTCTTGATGGCACCACAGGAGCTTGGTAGAATGGCTATAAATGAACTCCATATCTCTTTATCCCTTGCATAAACTTTGCCTACCAGCAAGTGTACCTAAATAAAAGAATCACAGACCTATCACAGACCTACTGACACTGGGATGTACCTCTGGAGATCACCTAGTCCAGACTCCTGCTGCCCAGGAACACATTGAATGATGCTTCAAATATCCCTGAGGACGGAGACTCCACTGACCCCTCTGGGAAATCTGTGCCTGTGCTCAATCTCTTTTACAGTAAAACCATTTCTGTCCCATGTCTAAATGGATTTTATTTTTTTCTTTATATGCAATTTGTGTTCATTGCCCCTGACTTTGAGCTCAGTAGTCAGTTTTCAATTCACTGCACTGCCCTGGTCTGTTCGCTGAGGAAATTCCACCACGTTTCACAAATTATGCCACCATCAACAGGACTCAGTCCCAGGCTCCTCTTGAAGAAGGTGAGTCGCCAACCTGCTGAGTAAATCAGGGGCTTATTCATCCAACACACAGAGCAGCTCGAGCTGGGAGCCTCTGAAGAGACATCCCAAACAAAAATATCCCTGGGCAATTATACCCTTACAATCTAAATTACCCACCCCTCCCACAGGTCTGACCAGGAGTTATATTAGGGTCTGGGGTCTTCCTTTTCTTCACTGGGTCCCTTCACTGTTTCTACTCAGGCTGTTCCTTCTCTTACCTCCAAAGCTGCAGCATCAGCTGATGGTTGCATCAACCTTTCTTGATTCCTTATCTTCCAACTCTGGGGCTTTTTTTAACTTAAATAAAGCTTAACCAAAGCTGTTAACTTCCACCCAGATATGCTGAACTTTTACCTAGTTAAGAGCCTAAGACTGCAGCAAATTTAGCTATTAAAGCTAAGCATGTTATGCTAAGCAAGTTCTACATAAGCAGGATACCAAATTGCACAACACTCTTCCTGAGGATATTATGGGAGTTAGTGTGGACATCACCCAGTTGAACATCTTCATGTGGGAAAATTTTATGGTTCTGAAAGGACTGAGGGCCATTGCAGCACCCGAGGGGTCTCTTGCACTCCTTTCCATGAAACATTATTTCTGTGGATTTGAGTCTTTCGTGGTGAATTGTTTGGCTTGGTTAGGTGTGTTCAAATGTTTTATGACCTGTGGAATGTGGGTGTTTGTCATCATTCTGTGAGTGCAGCCTTCACAGAATGTATCTGCATCCAGTTCAGGGAGCTGGCACTACCAGATGTATGTTAACCTCTTCCAGTAGCAGTGCTACTTGGATGACAGTTCTGGGAAATCTGGAAGGTATGTTGATAATGCTAAACTGGTGAGTGCTCTGTTTCTACAACAAGATGTGCAAATGTCTTCCATAAAATAGATTTGCAATGTTTTTCCAGCAAAATCCAAAATAAATATTTGGTTAAGAAATTTTATTCCTGGAATAAAAATTTCAAAAGCTAAAATGAAAATATTGTCACATCCATAATGATGAGAAAAGTCACTTGTGCCAGCAGCCACTGCAGTCCCCTGCAATCCAGTCTAACATTCTCATCTTCTAATTACTCCTTAGTAATTGCAATGAGCTATTTATTTGCAATGCCACACAGGTATTACAGAGAGTAGGAAATCAAATTACACAACAACAACAACAACAAAAAGACGTAATTAACAAGCAGCTGCTCCTGAAGCAACAATAGAATTAGGTGTGTATTTCAGCATAAACAGCTTAGTGATTAGGTTACTGCCCTGGATCATACCTCACTGTCTTTTTGGGCAGGGGGATGAAAGGAGCCAGCCAGATATTTATTTTTATTTATGTGGAGCAGCTATTCAACAGAAATGAAAAATGGAATGATTGTGTCTGTATAGCTTCATCCTAAAAATCTCATGTTTGTTCTGCTAGGCTTTCTAAGGCAATAAAACCTAAAAGCAAAATGCCATTTGCAATAAAAATTGTATGAGAAATTCCACCTTTTTTTCCCCAGCTTTGGACAGGAAAAATATATTTCTTGTCATAATCGATGTCTTTTAGATCCCTGACTTACCTTCTTGCCTCCCTGCCCCAAACAGAATGCTGCCATATGCTGAATTTACAGCCTCTCTGCACAAAAGCACTCTGTGGCTATTATTATGCCCATAAAAAACATGTCCCTCTAAAAAAAAAAAACACCAACAAAGGTGGAGATTTAAAAACAAACAAAAATAACCAGGAAAATCAGGTGATCACACTGTCCCTGTAAACCAAATCTGGCAATGGAGCAAGAACCTAAAATCTGTGGGAATAAGTGGCTGGAAAAAGTAAGGACAGCCTCTCAGGAACCCACTGGAAGAACAGCTGTGAGTTCCTGCAAGACCTTAGAGAACCAACACATTGGGGACACAACTCTAAAAGAAGCCTGAAATTTTGCACTCTGTTAACACCAGAGAACCCCGCTCTGAAATAAAGGTATAGGAAATCACATTTCATTAGTTCTGTTGTTCATGAAGGAACATGAGTTGTTGTTTGGTTTATTTTTCAGAGATATTGAAGTTGCAGGACGGCAGGAAAGAGGTGGATTTGACAGGCAAGGGAGAAGGCTCTACAAAAAGGGGTCCAGAGGAGCCCTGAAAGGATGGAGCAACTGCAACAAAACACCAAATCACAGCAGCCTGTAGGCAGAGGGAACACTCCCTGCATGGCTGCTCCACAAATGGAAAAGATGTTCAGTGAGGAAAAGAATACAAGTTTGTGAATTGTACTGATTTTTCTAGAAGACAGCAGTTAAAATGATGTTTGACAGAGAGTCTGTCACAGGGAGAAACTATTGCAAGCTTCCCACTAAGCACAACTCTGTTTTATACAAAAGGAATTGTTATGTGTGAGGAAAACTATAGTGTCCCACTGTTTGTACCACGCAGGAAGCAAACATAGAAGCAGTTCTGTTTTCCATGTTCTTGGGTAACCTTAACAAAGCTGGCTGCATCTTAAAAGTTAAAGGAGCTATCAGCAAAGTACTTTTCCCAGTTCAGCCATTCAGAAAATTATAGCGTGTATCTGATAGAGAAAAATGTGCTTTCTTCACCATCTTCATCTTTTATCAAACTATTGTGTCCACATTCCTTTATTTCCCAAACTCTGACAACAGTTCCAATGAAATCCCCTGGTCGTAAAATCACAGAATGGTTTGGGTTGAAAAGGACTTTTGAAAATCATCTAGTCCAACACCCCTGCTGTGGGCAGGGACATATTTCACTCCATCACGTTGCTCAAAGCTCCATGAGCAAAGCAGGTGCAGATCCCTCAGGAAAGAGGCATGACATGGAGTGAGAGAAAGCTTTGGCTTTACTGCAAGAGCAGTATTACCACTGTGGCAGTCCTAGGAACCTATGCTAGACAAAATGGTGTCCCAACTCTTCTTGGGGTGTGAAGAAAAGTTTTATTACACACAGGGATGGGTAATAAAACTTGGAAAATAATTAACATATCACACATATGGAATGCCTTGGTTTGCTCATTAGCAGACTTGCTGATCTAATGCAGATGCTGTTGTCTAGATTTCAAGATCTGCAGCTGGCCGTCACACTGGCACCCATGCACCCCCCAGATGGGGGGAAATTACTTGTCCTGAGTTACTGTGACAAGATAAGATGCACTTGGGATTCCAAATCATTCATGCCAAAAGTCTTCTCGTTCCCTACAGCTCATGCAGCCTGGCTTTGAACACTTCCAGGGATGGGACACCACAACTTCACTAACTCTAACCCTTTTCTTCTCCAGGCTTTTTTCCAGGCTCAGCTTCACTCCTGCCTCCAGCAGTATAGGGAGATAAGGAAAGAGCACTGTGGTCAGTTCATCACCTCACACTCTCCTGCTCCAATGCAGGGTCCCTCCCAAGGGAGATGGTCCTCCACAGACTTCTCCAACATGAGTCCTTCCCACGAGCTGAAGTTCTTCACAAGCTGCTCCAGCATGAGTCCCTTCCACAGGGTGCAGTCCTTCAGGAATAGGCTGCTCCAGCATGAGTCCCTTCCACAGGGTGCAGTCCTTCAGGAATAGGCTG